CCCTGCTGGCCACGCCAGGGCTGACACAAGCCAGAATGCCATTGGCCACTCAGTCAGAGACTAGGATACAAAAGGTGGATTTTAAACTGAGGGTTGCTCAGAAGAGCTCCAGGAGCCGTTTGCCCAAGGTCCCACCAAGAAGGAACACCAGGACATCTTCTGAACCCCCACCTCTGCTCATGAGTCAGGTTATGCCCAAACTACTCACCAGAAGAGCTAAATCTGGTGCCCTACTACAAGCTCTACTTTTTCTTTCACTTGGGTGGGAACTGGGAGGACCTGACACACATTTCCAGCATCACAGGCTCCTCCTGGCTGACACACAAGCAACAGGGCCCTCTCAGAAAGCGGAGGAAAATGGGAATGTCCTTCCCTGGGAAGGGGTGATGGAGATGTGCTCTGTCATGCTGGAGTCCCCCAAACCAGACTACAAGGCGGGAGCTGCACTATCACAGCCCGGCTTTGAATTTCAGCCGCCCCTGAAAGGTTTCTGTGGGCAATCTTACCTGATTGGAAGACATGTTCTCAGCCTTCATTAACGACGAGTAGCTCCTGGAAGGAAAATGACATTATCTTGCATGATAGGTTTTCAAACCCCACCAACAGACAGCTGTTTTGATAGAACAGGACCCAGCACCAGAAAAACCACATTTTTTTTTCCTTTCTGAGCAGGCTGGATAAGCATTGGCTTATCTTATACTCATTGCCTGATTAAAACAACCAGACAAAGCCCAAGCACTATGCAGGCTCCTCCGCATTTTTGACCTGGAACTACCAGCTGGATCATCCCAGGAGGTAGAAAATCCTTTACTTTGGGGGACAGCCAAGAGGCAGCTCTGGGGCAAGGTTAAATAAGCAGGAAGGCCCCTTTCTCTGCAGCACAGACACGCCTGCTGCTGACTTCTCAGCTTCATTTGCTTCTCCAATCTCTCCTTTCTGTGCTCTCCATGCGTTGAATCACTCAGGAAACCGTGGAGTTTTTTCAAATTCTGGTTTCACTGTCATTTACAGATAAACATACCTTACTAAAGATTAAGAACGAGCTTTTGGGGCCAGCCAGCAGATACTTCCAGCGCTGTACGGGGCTGTTGGTACTAAGGAATCAGCTCACACGTGCTGCAGCACGGACAGAAAGGTCAACGTGACATTTCAAACCACCATCCCTCAGCCTGAGCTTAAAGGAGGGTGTGACTGAGGATTCAGGGGGTTTAGTTAACATCAGCGATGCAAGAGGAACCTGAAAAAGCTCTAGAAAAGGCAAAAGTGCTTCCTGAGCCTGTCCCAGTGACACAGAACCAAGGGGCTTGCCCAGTTTCACCCAACTTAGGGACAGGTTTGAAAAGACACAGTCCTTTATTTTAACAATGGTTTAACATCCAGGTTTATTTTAGGAGAAAAGGGGGGAAAACGCATTTATTCTAAAGACAAAGGCAATCACTGGGCCGTGCAGAGGTCTGTGCCAGAGCAGGTCAGCTGAGCACTGAGTAACGCCGGGCAGAAACTGCTGACCCACGACTCCCTCCCAGCGCCGATGACAACTGCAGAGTCGGAAGCTGGCACTACAATTTATTACTTACCGAAGTTCTTCCAGCTCTTTCTTCTTCTTCATCTCTTCCTTTTCCTTCCGTTTCATCTCCTGGATCTGGGCTTTTTTCTCATTTCTCTCCTCTCTGTCCCGAGCTTCCTTCTCCGCAGCCAGGTCTGGGAATCGCTCCACTTTTGTCTTCTCTAGTCGGTTCAGGATCTCATTCACCTTCTTTTCCACCGTCAGCATTTTGACCTTTGGAGTGCAAAAAACTGTGATCCTTATAAAAAAATACTTTTATTCTGGCACTTTCTCAACAGAAAGAAAACACCCTATTTCCACTTTATGCATGGCCGAATCCCACAGAAACAGATGCTAAGGGAAATCTCTGCCACCGAGGCCTTTACAGCAGGTTGTGTAACAGCAAAGAAGAGGCCCACTCCCACCACTCAGAAGCACATAGCTAATAAGCGTAAGCATTGCTAAGTACCTAAGCATTACTAATTTCATTTCTTGGCACATGCCTCATCAAAGAAGCCAAGACACGAGAACCGGTCCCTGCCAGTTCCTGAAGAGGTGGCAGAAGGTCTCTGCAGACTGTTTTGGGGACAGAAGTTCACATGCTGCTTGTTGACTGCAGGGTTTTCAGCATTTCTTGCCCTGCTACGGACCTCCTTTAGTCAAACAGCTGCACCTCTAGAGAACCTTCTCTCCCAGCAGCCGTATGTAACTATAGTTTAAGAATAACACTGTCTGCAGACACTAGGTCAGGCTTTAGAATAGCTTAGTATGCTGGCTTGACCCTACACTACAGCTAAAAATCTCTGCCTTGTTTAACAAATTGTTTAACAGGTTTAACAAATTCAGAGGCAGCACTGGGGTGTGACAGCTCTCAGAGCAGAGGCAGCGGAGCAAACCCAGTGAAAGACACTCCCAGGACCCACCCAGCCCTCCTTTGCCCAGCAAGTTCAAGCCCTGAGCCCTTACAGATAGGACACTACTAACTTAACTATAAGCTGATCCAAAGCAACTGCTCCTATGCATGCTCTTCAGCCGCAGCAAGAGATGATTTCAGTGGAGGATAAATACAAACAGCACAGATTAACACATGATACCAGGGGGGATCAGCAAAGACTCGTCAGCTACAGCGTGCTGCAGTTTGGAAACACACTCTGGGACAGGCTACGCTCTGCTACAGGCTGACACTGAACCACAGATTCTCAGGGGATGTTCAGGTAAATCCAAACACGCTCCCAGAATCTCTCTTATGCTTCAAGAGCAGATGATTCCCTGGTTTTAGGGCAAACGCTGTTTGCCAGTTCCTAACCCAGAAACGTTACAGTCAGCCCGCAGGTCAGCGTTGCTGGCTTGCAGCAAACACTTACATCCTTCTGCCTGTGAAAGCCAATCTGCCCCACGTCCATGTCTGCAGTTTTCTTCAGGTTAGTCCACGGCGTGTACACCACGTTGACATTGTTCATCTTGCAACCTAGGAAGGCAGGGGAAAAGGGCAACGTTTCAATTCTCTCCCTGCTAAAAGAGGTCTTCAAGTCTCCCGCGCACATGGAAACGTTGGCAGTTGCTCTTGTTGCAAACATTACTAGCTAGGCAAGAAAGAAGAAAACGGAGAAGCCCTTCCAGCGTTACAGTGAAACGGAAGAACCCCACGACATCGTTTTCTGCAGTAACACGAGCGCTGCAGCAGCATTAACGAACTCCAGATGGAGACTGTCTTTGCCAGAAGAGCAATTTCTATGGAAGGGGGCCCCAAGGTGGTGGTAGAGAAGAGACTGCAAGGCCTCCTTGGCTCAGACAGCAAGATGGAGGCACAAACAGGAATTTCAGAGCTTTAAAATTCATCCTTACAGATTTGTACCAGGTGGCCCCAGCAGCTGCAAGCGACAGCTGCTTCCCCTGAGACCCACAGGCACCGCAGCAGCAAACGTCTGCTCCAAAAAAAACCCCACACGTGGACTGAAAACACTCGCCACAAACGTGTCACAGTGAAATCCCGGGCACCAGGTGTTACCTTGAATGCTATTCGCCTTCACGAGATGGGCGCAGTCTATCAAAACTTCTTTGGGAATGTCATCCACCGTCTGTCCCTGTGACAGAGCAAGGCAGTGTCAGTGGCTTGTGGTGGGGGGCTGCAGGGACCTGTGGGCACACGACAGTGAGGAAGCAGGGCACGATGCTCTGCAAACACAGGCAGCACCTCTGTGCTCCACAGCTGATAACATTGGAGCCTTCTGTGGCATATGTAAGAAGCTCAAAGTGCTGCAAGTGATTTGCTTTTCTCAGAGGTATTCTCCCTGTTTTGCATCATCAGTGAGTTCACAGATGGCACCAAGTGAAGCGGGAGGGTCGATCTGCATGAGGACAGGGAGGCTCTGCAGAGAGACCTGGATAGACTGGATCAGTGGGCAACGTTAACGGGATGGGATTCAACCAGGGCAAGTGCCAGGTCCTGCCCTTGGGCCACAACCGCCCCCTGAATGGCTACAGGCTCGGGGAGGGGTGGCTGGAGCTGTCTGGGAGAGAAGGGTCTGGGGGTTCTCACTGACCAGCAGCTGGACAGGAGCCAGCAGTGTGCCCGGGTGGGCAAGAAAGCCAACAGCCTCCTGGCTTGGATTAGAACTAGTGTGAGCAGCAGGAGCAGGGAGGTGACAGTCCCCTGTGCTCAGCACTGGTGAGGCCACACCTGGAGGGTTGTGTCCAGGTCTGGACACCTCAATCCCAGAGAGATCTGGAGGGGCTGGAGCGAGGGCAGAGGAGGGCAACGAGGCTGGGGAAGGGCTGGAGAATCAATGCTGTGAGGAGCCAGGGAAGGAGCTGGGAGTGTGCAGTGTGAGGAGGAGGAGGCTGAGGGGAGCCCTCATCCCTCTCTGCAGCTCCTGACAGGACATTGCAGAGAGGCTGGGGCTGGGCTCTGCTCCCAGGGGATCAGGGACAGGACAAGTGGGAATGGCTGGAAACTGCCCCAGGGGAGGGTCAGGCTGGGCAGGAGGAGAAAATGTTTCCCAGCAAGAGTGGTGCGAGAGTGGAACAGGCTGCCCAGGGAGGGGGGAGTCCCCATCCCTGGGGGGGTTTCAGGGCCGTTGGGATGAGCTGTGGGGGATGTGGGGTAGGGGAGAGCTTTGTAGAGTCGGGCTGAGGGTTGGACTCGATGATCCCGAGGGGTTTTTCCAGCCTGAAGGATTCTGTGCTCCTGTGATGGTTTATACACACGCCGGGTGTTGAGCCAGACATCAACTGTTCTGTTGGGCCACATTAAACTTCCTGCTCCTCCTCACATTATTTGGCAACAGAGGTTGTAAATTCAAATCTCCCCACACTGGTGGTTCCCTGAACACTTAAACGGTTCACACAAGCAAAGACGGGTTCATGCGTTCGAATCGCTGCAGAACAGGCACAGGCAGTTCTTACACAGGTTTTAATGCTTTAAAATGTACCTGTCACAGCCTTATAATGTTTTAAAATATACCTGTCGCAGGATTACCTTGTGTAACCGGAGGTACACGTGCGCAGAAGAGAGTTTATCCACGTGAAACCTTCAGGATTTTTTTAAAAAAAAAAAAAAAAAAAAAACAGAGGATAAGAGCTGGTGGATGTGTTGTCCTGAAAGATTTACTTCCTAACAAGTGACAAAACAGGACAACAAAAGTATAGAAACATTCATGATACACATGTTTAAAAGCAGGCAAGGGAGTCAGAGTGTTTCTTGAAGGATACAACAGTCCTCTCAACGGGAGACTGAAAAAATAAGGACCTTTTTTCTTTTTAATACTATAATACATGCAGGTGACACTCACAGGACAAACCTAGGCATGTGGTGTTTGGGTCTATTTATTCTTAAGAGAAACAGCACTCAAACTCTGCAGCAGGCACTGCTACATCACTTACACAACTGGTCTCAACATCACAGAGCAAAAAACCCTCAAAATTTCTCCCTGAGGGGCCACGGAGCTGCCCCCACCAGCAGGAACAAGTGATGCTGCCTGGGAAGTGCACAGGGTTTAGTGGTTTCAGTGGGTACCAGAAGGTGAACCTCCACGTCATTCACTGCCTCCCAGATTTCACAAGCCTCAGGAACCCCCCCAGCCCTCTCCCCATCAGACTGTTCATCTCCTTGAGGGCTCCAGCTGCCCTTCTCCAGATCTTTTCTAACTTAACTCGTGTTTTTACCACAATCACCTCTTTTTGAAGCCTCTGTCCTGACCCAACACTCACTCCAACCCTGCACACTTCCAAGGGCAGAGGTGAGGAGCTGATTTTGTGTCACTTCTGTGTCAGACTGTATGTCTCAAGCATTGCTGTCACGCCACCACCACTTCCTGGCCTCAGTGTCCCGTGGACATGGAGGAGTACGCTCAGAAGAGGAATTGTCCGAGACAAAACCACAACATCTGCCCGAAGTTAAATCAGGGCAAAGAAGACGTGCAGGCTGGCATGACCACCATGAACACCGGGGCATGTGCGCATGGAGGGCCATGAGATAATGAACCTTGTGGAAACGGGCGGGCTTTTTGGAGAAATCTGGGACAATACAAGGACTTCATATTCCTCTCTCTCCCTCTCAGCCTTGTCATCACTTTGAGAGCTTGGAGCACCTTCACCTGCACCAGGACCGAGCCAACGGTGCATCACTGGATTCGTGGTGGTGGTAACTAGCCTTGCTGCGTCTCTGCTGTTTTTCTTGCTCAGGGATTCTGACTTTTCCTTCCTTTTCCTCTCTGTCCTATCGCTATTACCAGTTGTATGCCAAATAAAGTTCACAAGGTTGTAGAGCATCTGACCTCGTTTGTGTCTTAATCTCGCTCTTGGGATCGTTTAAGAACCCTCCCCGATATCGGGTCGGGACAACCTCCCAACTTTTCTTAACACCATTTTCTTTTTAACATATCAGGACTTTTTCCTTCCTGCTGCAAGACAGAAAACACTCCAGCACCAACACAAGAATTTGTACCTCCTGAGGCTCCTACCCCCATTCCACTAGACCCCTCTTAAATAGGAGTGAGTCTGAAAGGTGTCAGACACCATTAGAAGAACAGTTCCCAGAAGGGGAACAATTCCACAAGAGGATCTTGATATTTTGTTGAGAGGGCACCAGGACATGAAAAAAAGTCACAAGATATGAAAGAGATGGGGAAAGATGACTTCCATGGTTCAGGCAATTTGAGGATGAATCTCAAGGTCACTCTTAACTAACAGTATAGACATACCTTAAATTCTGTAGTAATAGGACAAACATGAGACAGAAAATGAACATGATATTGCTAGAGCAAAGTGTTATTCAGCTGAAATACAATCTCTTCTGCTAGAAAGGAAAAAGAATACTCCTTTGCCAGTTAGCTGACCGTGGACAAAACATCCTCTATGGAGCGTGTTAGCTATTACCTATTCGACCTCCAGGTCTACTGAGATACCTCAGCTCATCCTGGCAAAGAGGGAGAAGGAGCAAAATCCACATGGTGATTCTTGTTAGAAACTTCCAGTGAAGGAAAGGGCAGCAACTGTACAATAGTGCCCAAAAGCAAGCAAACTCCTGCATAAAAATCCCCAAAATTTTATCAGTCTGGAAAGATTATGGACTAATCCAGGCAAAGATGCCACAAATTGCTGCTAAAAGGAGTGGGAACTCTCCTGGCTGCTCTTCTCATTTAACTCTTCTCATTTCCCAAACGCAGTGAGAGCAAGAGCAACACTTTTATTCTGAAACACAAACATCTGAGTGGGGAGTTATTGCTACTCCAGCATCTCCGTGCACAGATAAACCCCAAAAAGTTTCACAAAGGGGCCAGCTCTTATGATGAACAAAGTGTGTGGGGGGTGGGGGTGTCAAGGGGGAGATGCAGAGGAATGAACTCAGAATCAGCGGGGTCCCAACTGCTGCAGTCCACCTCCACCCTGGGATTGCATTTAAACTGCTAAATGGCCTTAAAAAAAAAAAAAAAAAAAAAAAAAAAAAAAAAAAAAAAAAAAAAAAAAAAAAAAAAAAAAAAAGGTGATTCTGCAGTGCCTGTGGAAGTGAGAGGGTTGTTAGGATCACTCCACTCAGTTGCATAAAGAAAGGCAATTTGTTTCAGCACCTACCAGATATCTTCAGGCCAGCCATACTTTATTAGGTCTTCATCTGTAGGAATAAAAAGCATCAGTGAGCAAAACCCAGGAGCTGATCAACAACAAATCCAACTATCTGTCGAGTGAGAATCATCCACTGTTGGTCAGTCCCTGCGTGGTGATGGTGCAGGAACAGAAAAAGGCTTTAACGCTGCACCTGCCTGCTCCAGGTATGGCCCAGGACACCTTCCACCACAGAATTTTGACATTTTAAAGTGAAAAGATGTTTGTTCAAATACCTGTCTAATGGGGGTGGGGGGGAAGACTTTCAGTGCAAACCTTCAAAACAGCCACACTAACACTTTTTTCCTGGAGCAAGACATATCAGCTACTGCTGTGAAAACAGGAGGCACAGCAGAACCATGACCATGAGGGAAAGGACAGGCACGGGAAACCTCCCGAGTATAAAACCTCACTGGAGAGGGGAAAACTACAGAAAATACAGATTGAGGAGGGAAACAGAAGGTTGGTTTGCAAAAAGTTATCAAACATAACCTGAAAAGCAGTATTTTTCTCTAGACAAGATTTTTTTTTCCCCCAGTTAATTTAGTTTACACTTGTATTTGAAGGCAGTTACTCTGCCTAGAGGATTTACAAAATTTATTTATCCTAACTAAAAGTAACCCAGCGGATTTCAGAGGGGTAAGTAAGAATCACTTGCAAGGGTGGACAAGTTTTCAAACCATATATTGAATTAAGACACACAAAAACATCCTTTCATAATGACCTTAAATCCCCACAAATGGAAATCCAAGCCATAAGGCATCGTTACATGAATGTACTTACTTTCATACTTATCTTTTCCCATGTAAATGGTGTAAACGGAAGGAACAACTGAGGGATAGAAAGAGGAAAACAAATCAAAAGGGGGTTGGACAAACTGTGCAAGGAAGGACAAACACACCAGTTTTAGGACACAGAAATCAGAAAGAAAACTGCTTCATCCATCCATCCCGCTTCCCTCCAGGGGGCCAAAGGAAGTTTGTTTTTTTGTATTTTTGGGGGTTTATTTTGGTATTTCCTTCAGATTTTGTCCCCAGTACTTCAACAGAGTTTGGAAAGTGGCATTTCCACTGCTCCCCATGGAAGATTATCCAGCAAGGAACAGCTTTCTATGCAAAACACCCTCAACACCCAGGGGGTTCAGACTGTACCTATGTAATTGTATAATCTGTTCAATTAAGCACATGTCTGTGAGCCAGAAAGGCTGAGGTTGTATTTACAGTCTGGGATCAACTCTCTGTGTGGCCTTGAGTAAAACAGCTCATCCACCTGGGCCTCACCTCCCCAAAGTACCAGCAGCCCAGTGTGACCCTGCCCCAGGTAGCCTGGAAGGATTAAAATTTGCGAGACAACGAAAAGACCAAAGTTCCATAAACTCCTTTGTCTCATCTGGGCCCTTTTGGGACACTTCAAACAATGTCGTTCTCTTCTTTAGGCAGTAAAGACGCTGCCAAATCTGGGAAAGCAAATAAGTGTCACTTCAGCATCTCAGAGCAGGAAGAGGGTGCTAGAGTCAGGGAAGTCCTGTTGCAGAAAAACAGCTTGCTAAAAAAAAAAAAAAAATTAAAAAAAAAAATTTCTCACATGTTTACACAGTAGCAGGGAAATCCCAACTATCACAGCAACACTATCTATCAGTTTATCACCTTTCTAGCGTCTAGTTTTTAACAATTACCTTGTGTGCAAATGCTGTAGCCGTGGCTACAAGCGTCAGCGCTGCGCTGAAATTTAGCTGTTCTGCACCGGGATCTACAGGGCCCCAGGATGTGAAGAATTAGTGAGAGTAAGTTTTCAGCAGACAGCTTGACGCCAGTAGCTGAAACAACCTGCTGCAGGAACACAGATTTGCATTTTTCCTATACTGTTGCAGAACAAACAGAATTCACAGCCTGATTTCTAAAGTCACTCCCTGGTGGCACACAAATGAAAGACTAAGAGCAAACAGACGAAATGCAAGTGACCAAATTTGCCTCAAAAAAAGCGTTTTTTGAAGAGATGGTGTCTAACCTCCTATTTTCAAAGTCACTAATACGGTAGGTACACTTACGGGCTATAACTCGGGCAGTGAAATGACTTGGATCTCAAACTGCTTACTGACCCGGCCCTTTCTGAGGGCATTTTTATTAGAAATGCAACATCACCAGCACAGAGTGCAGATAACACTTTTCTATTTAGTTATGAGGTAATAAGAAATAGAAATTCAAAAATATGAAAGGATTATATGCCTGTGGGAGTTAAAGACTGGAAAAAAATCCACCCCGGGGAAAAAAGGACAGTCCAGAGAATGTGAGGTCGTTGTGACTACAAGCACTACCCATAATAGTAAAATTAAATTCTCAAAAATAAAGTTGCATTAGTGAGGATTCTGTGAAAACGAAGCCCATCTTGCCAACAGAGTAGGGCAACACTAACACAACCAAGCAGATTACTTCCAACCCATTCGATTTAACACACACCAGTAACAGCGCAACACGTTTTAGGCAAACTGCAAGTCTCCCCGTTACAGACATCTCTCTGGCAGCAAAACTGGTTATAATGTGTCAGAAACCCTCTGCAGAACTGTAATTTCAAAACAAAGGAGATTGTTCGTGTCACTGGCAGAGTTAACTGCAGCTTGCTTGCTCCTAGGACTCCTCCCCGAGTTATCCTACATGTGTGCCCGGCACTTTTCTCCCCACAGAAAGGCCCACGTCCAGGAAAGTCTCTCAACTTCTCAGGAGCAGCCTGCTGATCAGCAGAGAATGTTTCCGAGTATCAGACTAAACGATCAACGCAGCCATCTGCTAACCGGGTGTGGAAAGGGCCTGACTTTCCGCAATAGAAGGAAAAAAGCTTTTAAACAAACCCCAAGAACAAATTAAGAAACAGTCAGAAGACTGTTAAATCTTGCCTTGTTCAAGGAAAATCAAGCAGCTTAAATCCTTCTAATTTAGAAATGTCATCTCTAGAACTGAGGAAAACGATGCTATAAAATACTAGTTCGTGGATCCAGTGGGTAAGGGGTAAAAACCATACAGGAACTTTCTCAAGCAGGTTCTAACTTGGTGAAACGACTGGGAGCAAGCCTCAAAAGGAATATTCCTAAACTACCCTCTGTATCATCAGCCCACATTGCATCAAACCACTTCAGAAGTGGCCAACCTTTCCATATGTGCAAATGAAAAAGAGATAGCTATATTAAAGGCAAAATATCGAGACAATTCAGGCATTACGCCTTCCCTCAAACCCCTGACAACGGTACACTGGAGAAAGCTTTTCAGAAGTCGCCCCCCGGTACTGCTATTCATTCAAGGCCGTGAACAACCACTGCTCAGAGGCTCAGCCCAGGGAGCCCCGTAGCTCCTGAAATGCCTTTAAGCTGTACCCGATTTCGGCCCAAACCGGGTCCTTTACACTCAGCCCAGCCCAAGGGCTCGCAAAACGGCACCGACAGGACTAACGGGAATGCTCGGGGCAGGAGGAGGTGCCGTTACCGGACGGTTCCCCTCACTGAGGAACGGGGCAGGGGGGTGCGGCCCAGCGCTCCCCTCACAGCGGCGGGACCCGTCCCAGGGCCCCGCGCGGGCGCTACAGGCCTCTGACGGCTCTCCCCGCACTCGCTCGCTCGCTCACCGTTAGAGGTGAAGTAAAACACCATGGCGGCGGCGGCTCCTCCCCCCCGGCCCGGGGCCT